GAGGCCTCCTCTCCCATAAGCAGGACAAGGACATTTAACATTAGTGCAAACGTTGCTCACTCAGCTCAAGCACCATTTCCAGTGCTGTTAGGCATTTTATCCGTAACCCCACCCAAGCACCCTTTTATATACTCTACCCTCATGGCACAGCGTCCCAAAACCCCGACCCAAAACACACGCACGCTAGCAAACACACAAAATGCACAGCCATGAGGAAATAAATAGCCGCAGCTCAAGTTATTTTAAGTAAAACAAGTCTAAGAAGGAGAAAAATAATAATTTACATCTTTAAACCCTTGATTCTGTTCTTCACAGACAATTGAAAGTGAACTCAAGTAAAAGTGTGTATGATTTCAACCACGTATCTGCAAATATAGGACGAGGGCATCCGTGGCGTAGTCATGGAGCCCAGACTGGATAAATGGTTGACATATTTTTAATATCTGTAGCCTGCAGATAGGGAACAAAAAGCTTTGGTTGCATATAAAAAGAACACACATTTTGGAAAACATTAGTCCAAATTAAGATGGCTCACATGTAAAAAGATTCTGCCACATTAAGACAAAGTGCAGCAGTCCATGCCAAGTACCACAATAAAGATCCTGCACCAGACGAGACACCACATCACCCAGCTCTGAAGGTAGAAGCCCGATTGTGCAATATTGTACAAAAGAAGGAAAACGACAACAAAAACTCTTAGGACTTAAACAACCCTTGGCAATGACCAACAAACGTAAACAAGAGCTATAAAACCTGGACCAGGAGGGATGAGCAACTCCAACATGATCATTTAGCTTCCGTGGTACTGTGGACCTGTGGTCACTGTGGTTCCTGCGAGAACTCTTATAACTATCAAACAAATGGGGGCAGACACAAACGTTTGTCCTGAGACCCTCCAGCCGGCAGTGCATGCATGTGCACTCTGGAAAAACCTCCCCAAAACAAAACAGAAAATTAAAACTAGATATACAAACACCTTAAAGTGCTCTTCCTTCCGCCTCCATCTCCTTCTGTCCACGGATTTTATATTAAGACGTAAAGACAATCACTAACAACTAGCTTCAAGTGCATTCAGTTGCGTGGAATCATCTGAATCACTAACCCAAACATGTGTCTGAACTCACCAGCTTTCAGTTGTGACACTTTCTTTTTTTTTTGGGTGGAAATTTGTTATAAAAACCCAACCAAGGAACCAAAATTCACCACAGTGGACCAAAAACAAACAAAAAAGAACAGATCTCATTTGCAACCGATTTGTTTCAAAGTACCCGTTTTGTAGACAAAAGTGCCCTCTCCGGTAACAAAGTGCATACATAATCTGCCTCTTCTCAAATAAGGTGCAAAAGAACTAAATCGTACTACAGCACCACCGCAGAGTTTACATTTACGGTGAAGAGAATGTGAACTTTCAGCTCACAGGACAATAAAATGTAAATTAATTTAAACTCTATGGTCCTCACAGGTCTGAAAATTAAGTAGGGCAACCTCAGTTGAATAAAAAACACATGACATAATATACCAAGTCATTATTTAGACAATAAAAAATGCAAAATATATATATATATATATAAAAGGAAGTCCCATCAAATGTGAGCATTTTTAAAAAAGCAGATATTTTTGCAATATGCTGCTCTAAAGCATTTACTGTAAATGTGTTCAGCGCTAAGAAGAACCAGCTATAATTTTAGAAACGCAACCATTGGTCTTCAGTCTGCGAAGAATATTAGGACCGTTTTGAAACTAAATGGAATATTTCACACCACAAGTTAAAGACAGCTAGCTGCTCTTCATCTCTGAAGAGGAAGCCAAACGCAGCCACATCGATGACTCTTCAGACAGAAATTAGAATAACGGATGTCCAAGTTCCCAATTAGAATAAATAATAAAATGAAAAAGGGTTGGCTTGTTTGGAAGTTTTGCCAGAATACCTCCTGCTTTGGCTGCACTGTTTTAGATTTGCAAGGTCGCATCATGGACCACATCATTTTTGGAACAACGTCCTTTGGACAGGCTAAGTCAAAGTGGAAATGTTTGACGATAATGTTGATAAGAACTGGAGTAAAGTCAAACGCAGCAAAAACAACGGTCGGTCATGGTGGGGAGGGTACGATGATCTAAACTTCTGTTCTGGAGATATTTTTAGTTAAAACTTGGCCAAGGGCGGCACGGTGGTGCAACTGGTAGAGCTGCTGTCTCTCAGTGAGCAGGACCCCCGTTCAAATCCATGTCCGGGGGCCTTTCTGAGTGGAGTTTGCATGTTCTCGCCGTGCGTGCGTGGATTTTCTCCAGGTCTAAACTGTCTCTAGGTGTGAGTGAGAGTGTGAATGGTTGTTTGTCTCTATGTGGCCCTGTGATGGACTGGAGACCTGCCCAGGGTGTACCCCACCCCTCGCATAGTGATTGCTGAAGATGGGCACCGGTGACCCTTGTGACCCATAATGGAAGAAGCGGGTAAAGATAATGGATGGATGGATGAAAACTTTGCCCAAATTGGATGATGAACAATCCCAAAAATCAACAGCCAATCTCTGGCAAGACGGCTAATAAAATACATTAATGGGTGTTTAATAGTTTGGCTTCCTTTATAGGAGACGTGAGTAAATTAAAGCTCACATATCCTAAACGAAAATAAAGTTTTGGAAAAACTGCCCAAAAATACGAAGAAATTACTGAAGTGACACAAAAGACAATTACTTCAAACTGTTGTTGCAACAAAGGTGATACTACAACTTTTTTTTAAAAATGGAATGTACTTATGTTTCACAAAACCTTTCTGCCTTTTTATCTAAACATTCATTAAATAAATAATGACAAGGTTTAGTTTGTCACGTTGTTCATCTGAGGTTGCAAATTCAAGACCTGGCAAGGACGAGAGGAATTTACGCCCTGGTACAGAAAAACAAAAAAAGAAGAAAGAACTAGAATCTGGCGTCTTTACTTTTAACCATGACTGCATTTCGTGGGCGTGAGGAGGGGGATCACGTGGACATGATCTCAGCTCAAAGCTTGAGTGGGTTAACATGAAGAAGAACCCCACGTTTGAACGACACCTTACATTTCTGAAGTCGACACAATCCAAAACACACGAGGTCAGTGACGATATTCAAACCGATATGCAAGCTCTGGTGTTTTCCTGCTCTCTGTGGGATACCTGGACCCAGTGTGTGTGTGTGTGTGAGAGAATCAAACAGAGAAAGTGCACAGGGGCTGGCAGCTCAGGGTGCATGTTTGAACAGGCTGTGGCTGACTCACACACCGATGATGTGGCCAGAGGGACCCTCCTCCTCCTCACTCACACACACACACACAAATGCACACATGCACTCCAAACTGCATGTAGATGTAAACACACTCCCACAGTAAACTGGCAGCACCAGGCATCCTCCTCACAGCAACACCAGGCTCTAATATAATAATATCCCCTCCAGGCTGGTCCAGGGGCATTAGAGGACTACAGAGGCTGGGAGAGGGAGAGGAAAGGCTGGAATTGATCCCCTCCTGCTTGGAAACGTGGCTGAGCTGGGGGAGATTATTTTTTTGGAATGCAACAGACATTGTGAGATCCCCCTCCCCTTCCCTTGTTCCCATCCCCCCCATCAACCAGCTGCAGCTGCGCTCCTATTTGGCCTCCCAACTTGGACAGGTATTTATTGCTCTCTTCATCACACAGGTTGCCTTACGGTTGTGTGGTCCCTAGGGCCAGAAAGATTGGAATAAGCATGATACATAAACCTGACGCACACTCCCTCCCCATCACCAACCCACTTCCTTTAAATATACCCTCTCTGTTGGATATCTTTAGTAAAGCTGTGCAAACGCAGAAAAAAAAAGGTGCTCTTCTTCAGACTCACTCCCTGCCATTCCTTTAACCTGCAGTTGGTTAAGTGCTGCTGCGCCTTGTCGCACAAGGACGAAATCTGGAAAACTGCAGAAAGTTTAGCACATTCATTCATTCATTCATTCAATCATGCAGCCATCTCATCCTTTGGGCAGGAACTGTACATGTCAAGTGTAAAAGTTTTGGACAACTGGAATCCTCTCTCCCCACATCAAACATTCACACAGCTTTGTTTCATTCACCCACAAGCCTCGCTCTGTCAGAAATACGACAACCCTAAGAGGAAAGATGCAACTGGTAAGTCTAGAGGCCAACATCATATCACCACCTGCTATATATACAGACGTATACAATTATAAAGTGTCGCGTACCCAAAAAAAAAAAAAACGAAACAAAAAAATTAAGACAAATCAAAAGGGAAAATGCTGACATTGCAGGGTTGTGAAGGACAAGAGGCAACGTAGCAAAGTCAAAAGGTACATCGAGAATGGTAGTGCTTCAAAAACACAAACCCTTCACCCCTCGCGTTCCATAGTCCTGCAAATGGCGAGCCCCCGTTAAAGTGGATTTGACTCATTGTGAATTTGTTTTTCCAACAAGATGAACAACAGATTTTGAAAATGCTTTTTTTTTGTTGTTGTTATTTTAAGAGTAAGTAACACTTCAATCAAACCCTTGCCTGATTCTTTCTGGAACATTTGGAAAGAAACTGTTGCATCAAAACAGTGGTAAGTTGTTCTTGCATATACCATATAGTGGAAATTTTGTTTCTATGGTAACTGTACTGAGTTATACAGAGCTGCAAAAGAATAGAAAAAAAAAAGGTTTTCACTAGGATTTGTCCTCGCTTCACTTGCACAGCAGTCAGAAGGTGCACGACACCTTTCTAAGAGCTTGACGGCTGCGAGGACGAAACCAATACGAATCTAAATCAACTGCATAGTTGCTCAGAGTTTCCTTGCATCTATCACTTGCCTAAGCATATATGCCATGTAAAAAAAGTTTACAAAGAAAGAAATGGCCCAGAAAGTGGACGTCATGGGTGGATGATTTGAAGCGTTCTTTTCTCTTTAACAAACACGCCAAGTGACGTGCTTAAAAGTCTACTCTGTTTCCTAAAGTAAAAGAGCTATAAAGATTAGATTTGTGTGACACCCTGATTTGGTTTTTAGAGGAATAGTTAGTTGTTCTGTCTTTTTATTTTAAATTGCCGTTGCATGTTTTTGTTTCTCTCCCCCTCCGTTCACGGGCCTGTCTCACAGGCTGTGCAGAGCGAACGTGGCGTCCAGCAGCGTCCTCGTCGCCCCGGCAGTCTCAGGGCCCTGCCTCCCCTGATAGCTCCTGCAGCTGAGGACTGTGTGAATGCACTCCAGCAGCACACTCCACCTCTGCACCAGTGGACGCCTCGGAACGCCGTCGCCCCTTGACGATTCGAGGCCCAGTCCCAGTGTCGGGACCGAGAAAACCTGGGGTGGCCTCCAGGAGCCCTGGCTCCCTCACCCGAGGTTTCCTGCCTCGGCGGGAGGGGATTCCGTTGCAGCCGTCCTTCTTAAGGTGGCGATGCAGATGATCTGAACGTACAAAAGTCTTAAAGCAGCTTGAGCACTGATAAGGACGCAAGCCGGTGTGCACGCGCATGTGATTCTTCAGGTCGTAGTTGTGAGCAAAGGCAGCTCCACATTGTGTGCACAGGTAAGGCTTCTCTCCTGTATGCTTCCGCATGTGAACCTTGAGCTTGTCCTGTCTGAGAGGGAGAAAGACAAACATGGCTTAAGAACACACTGACAAGAAATTCAAATGTGCAAGACTGCGCTGCTCACACAACTTCAGGTCTCGGTCAATAATTAACTCGTCAATAACTAATTTAGGGATTTAGCTTCTAATTTATTCTCAATTTTCGAATTATTTATTTCCTAAAGCCATTTCTCTGATCTCTTATTTTCTTTAAAAGTATTCATTTGACTGAAGAGAAGTCATAAACTTTACATTATTATCTGTGTGACGGCACCACAAGAGCACAACGTTCACCGTGTCTGATGGCTCGTTCTGGTAACATGACAAACAGATTAAACTTTAATAGAAAAGGAGGACCTAAATATCTCCTGTGCAAAAGGGAATTTTATTGTTCAGTTTTGACAAATATTTGAGCCCAGAAAATAAGATTAATATTAGAACATTGCGTTTTCCCAGTAAGCCATGTACTGACTGAATTTTGTGCAAGAGTAAATGCCAGTATAGAACAAGTCCTGCAGCAGCTACAAATAAAACCACATTCTGACTCAAATTCCCTAAATTTCATCTCTACATCTTCAAGCATTTTTTGTTTGCTGTGACACCCCCTCCAGTAAACTTTATCTGGCAACCTTGGCCTTCATCTGACTTGTGTCCTTCCCTCCCCCCCTTTAGCCTTTACTATCTCTCTAGCTCCCGAGCTCTTAAATCGTCTAACCTTCCTGTACTGAGGGCTCCTAAACAAATAAGTGAGTTAAGACAACTCCATTTGAACACATACGCACAAGCAATGCCAGGACTACAGACAGGGATTAGCTGTCATACAAATAAATAGTTAAACCCACTACAATCATCACAGGTTTGTGCAAACTGTGCCTCAAATATATATATAAAAAAATTAAAGTAGAATAAGCGTTGATGACAAACACCTCTAAGAATGTGCACAGACTCAGGCTGGGGGCTTGGAACAAAGTGGCACACTGACACAGGTGAATTATTTAAAGGATGGGAGAGATTTATGACTTTGCAAAGCAAACTCTTAACCCTGATCAAACAGCATTAAGATTACAACGCCCCCTCTCTCCACTGCTGGTCTGAAGCTGAACAGGTCTTCTCTTTCTGTTACGCCTAAAGAGGTTCTGGATATTTCAAGCCAAGGGATCCTATTTCCGGCACAGGCCTGCGAGTTAATTAATTAAGAGAATGATTTCAAGGAAGAAGCTGTACTCCTGAATCCAAGAAAATCACGTGCACAGATGTAGCACAGAAGCTACTGTGCCACATTTTCTGGTTTCCAGGTGGGACATGTGGGATTTCACTCAAGAGGAGAGGGAGGGACAATGAGAGAGGTAAGGGGAGGGGTGAACACTCTGCTGTGGGCAATAATCATCCTAGCCACAGATCAAAAGTTCACATTATTGTACCGGAGCACCATCCAGAGCCTGCAATCCCCCTCAGTATCAGAACAGAACTTTATGGCTGCTTTGTACTAGATAACACCACCATGGCACAGCCTTGTTTTATAGGACCTCTATGTTAAAATTACAGGACTTTGCCATGATCATAAACCAGACCTTTATAACAAACCAGCCCCCTAACCCACTGAGGCTACAACTCCATGCTACTAAAGTTAGCATATAACAATGTGGTATTAAGAAAAAAAAATCCCTTTAGTGCCCTATGCAACCATAATTAAGGTAAACATTTGGACACTAACTGTGCTGCCTCCTTAATGCAAAGCTAAGATGGTTAGCACTAATACTCCAGCTCTAGGCTTTGTGGCGTTTCTCACTGCTGTGCCGTTTGTCTACAGTGCCACATCCAATTCTATTAGCACATGTGACACGAGGCAGTCGCTTCATTAAAGGGGCTTACCTGGTAAAGCGCACTTTGCAGATGGCGCATTCATAGGGTTTCTCTCCCGTGTGCGTCCTGATATGGCGGGGTAGCTTGCCTGCACCTTGAATGACCTTCGAGCATATGGGGCACTTCTGGAAGGCCTTAGAGCGCATCTTCCTCTCCCCTCCACCTCCACCAGCCCCGTTACCTCTCTCCCCTACGGCTCTGTGTTGGCCTGTACTGCCTCGTGATAGCCACAAAGACGGCACTCCCTGTGATACGGAAGCAGAGGCCGCATCCTCGTGCTGCGTGCTGCTAAAATAATTCAAGTAAAATTCCATGTCGGGATCGTCCCCGTCTCCCTGTTCCTCCCCAGTCACTGCAGACTTCTTCTGCCTCTCAATAGAGTTCATCATGTGTTGCAGGAGGGCACTGGCTGAACCCCTCTCTCTCCCCATCACCTCCCTACAACTGTCCTCCCCTTTGGTGTCCTGCTGCGACTCAGGGGGGAGGTAGAAGTGACCATTTTGAGATGGAGGGTAGTAGGATGAATCCAAGTTTCCTCCATTGCCCTGAACTGCCTCTTCGTCATCCTCTTCATCCTCCTCCTCCTCGTCCTCCTCCTTTGGTTCCTGCGTATGGGACTGTGACAAGGCAAGAGCCAGTGGGGAGTAGTACTCACTGAGGCCAGCCGAAGCCCCATTGCTGGGGGTGCTCCCGTTACCATGGTTAAAGTGCAGGTGTGTGGGTAGGTCCCTGAGCTCTGGCGTGCTGCAGCTGCTGCTCCAGTGCACCCCTCTCTGGAAGTACTCCAGGTATTCCCGGGCACGAATCTGGTTCCCCTGCTCCTTGACTTCTCTGCTTTTCCCCTCGTCGTCTCCATTCTCACTTCTTCGCTCATTGCCCGCCTGTCAAAGCAAATAAAATTGTGGGTAAAAACTAGCATCGGGGGAGCAAAACAAGCAAGAAAAAGGCAAAGAATAAAGTTCTTGAGGAATAAAATTGTGTTCAGAAAAATGGCAGAAAATTCACTTAAGGAAGACCGACTCCAAATGGCCAAAATTTACAACTCTACAAATTAAAGAAAAAAGAGCAATGTTGAGTTTTTTAATATATAACTGGAAAAATCGACCCAGTGGGTCTACAAGCTGTGACGTTAGAAATTCTAACCATTTATTATTATTTAAAAAAAAAAAATCTAGAAACCCAAAACATACACCTACATGTCCCGCATAATGTGATTATAACAACAAATACCAAAAATGATTAGATGTTTTTCATTCAGTCGGTGCAGGACTGCAACACCAACTCATGCTGAAGGAACGATGGGAAGTGCGGAGATGTGTGTCTGTAAAAGAGCATGTCGTCCTTCCACAAATACAGAGCGTTAAGTAAGTGCTCAACTAACCGAAGCAGTGGGTGTGTGTTTGGCATAGTGAGAGACACGGAAATTTAGGCTACGCCAGCTATTTATTAAGGTGGATGGTTTAATGGCTATACACCCATTTTTCATGTAAATAAATTAGGTTTTAAAAAGGTTATCCCAGTTTCACAAAATTCCTATACGGTTCATGCTTCAAATAAACATTCACCAAGCATTACTTTGTATTGATTTATTCATTCATACCCATCTACTCACTACAGACTCATGTTCGGGCTGCTGTTTAATACAACGTATTGTTTTACATTATTAGTGTTTAGTGTATATCTTAGATCCTTTAGCGTACCGTTTAGTGTTCGTTTAGCATATATCTTAGTGTATATCTTAGATCCTTTATATACCGTTTCCTTTTATAATTTATATACACCAACATCTTATCAGGACTATGGTCTATCTGGAAGTGCTTCATGGACAAATCTCACCGTCATCGTCTTGTCATCAAATGCATATGTAATGTGTTTATAAATGTGCTTGCTGGTAGAGTTTTTTTGATGTCTTAAATCGTGGCCTGATAGAGATATTTTTTGTAATACCACTATCCTCTCCTCATGGCCTTTCCCCTTTTCCATCTAACAAGTATTCTGATAAAGAATAAGGGGCCACGCTCTAGTAGCAGCAGCAACGTGCACTCCGCTTCTTTCGGACGACTGTACGAACATAATCTCACTGCATGTCAGTACAGTGATAATAAAGCTTATTCTGATTCAGATTTTTGCTATTTTTGGGTGTAACTGGGACCCTGTGTACACAATTTCATTCCACCTTACGCACCACATGTGATGTGAATGACAATAAAGATACTTGAACTTGAACTTTTAGTTCTACAAAAAGTGTTGTACCGGCGGGGAGAGCACTTTGGTGTCCAGCAGGTGTGTACAGACGTCCTGAACAGGTGGGATTTCCAGGAGGCACGCAGCAGCAAGGATGTCAGCCACGCTGTTGTGACTGACTGTCAATGTGGCCGTGTAGGCAAAGTCCAGCAAAGCTCCCAGAGCTTCCGCCGCCACAAAGTCGATGTTGTAGATGTTCTGTTGGTCAGCAGCAGCCCCTGATGTGAAGAGCTTGTGGAAGTAGGAGCTACAGGACGCCAGGACAGAACGGTGAGCCGGAAACTCCTGATCTTGGGTAACCAGGAGGACGTCGCACAGCAGTCCACTGAGCCGCTGCTTGTTGAGGCTGCCCAGGACGTCTGCGCTGTGTTCAGGGAAAGGGATGCCCACGGGGCCTTCCTCTGCCTCTCCTGCTCCTCCTCTCCCTCCCCCGCCGCTCGCTATTCCCCGGAGCCGCCTGCCTCCTCTCCCGCCGGCTCCTGACGACATCTTCCACCAGCCTGCCGCCGAGCCGCCGAGCACAGCCCCCACCCGTGTATCCGTCCTGCCGTCTGTCCGTCTGCCTATCTAAAGAGAAGTCAAAAGACAAAATAGGACACGTTTAGGAGATTTTTACTTTTTAGTGGACAGAAAAAAAAGAATATTGACTATCCAGGATTAAAATATGCACCAGCAGTCACTACAACCACAAGTTTTATGGAGGACACAAATAAAACATGTATACAAAGAAAGAAATCAATGTGAGCTGCAGTGGCTGAAAAAGTAAAAACAGACTTTCAAGTGTGTGGACAAAAACTTTTACAGTTTACATCAGTTTGCATAGAAATTAGCATTTTTATTAGAAAGAAAACTGTCTAGACGGTCTGCATTTTTTATGAGAATTTGAAGCGAGGCCTGAGAAATGTACAAATGGAAAGTTTCAGAATTATAATATCTCACAAACTCAAACTGCAATGATGTGAAAAATGTTAGTCCCATAATAACCGAAAACATTATACACAACCTCTTATATTTTTATGCATAATGTATCACTACGACTTCCAGCTCGTATAGAAAAGTTTTTCTAGTCTTGTTTATTTATTTCTCAGTATTTTTTCTTATTACAAAATTAATGTTAACATTAGCATTTTAAAAAAATGCACACTTTAAAACTATCTAAATCAGAGTTCCTCGTTATGACATGTTCCTCACAACCAAGAAAACCCAATTAACCTAAGAAAAAAGGCTAAATGTATGTTCCATCTACCTGACCCGCAACTGAACTTCACAGTACATTTTACTCCTTACAGCTGGACCCAAGAGCCTCGAGTGTCTTAGGTAAGGGCCATATGGTAACACCACAGCGCTGTGCATCACAACTGCTCAGATTTCATCTTTACAACAGATTAAAAGCACGTGTAGTTGGCATCAAAGCAGAACGATGACAATATCCAATACATATATTTCCCAGTATTGAACCCATCTGATTAACCTTTTTGTTTGCAGAAACACAATAATTGGGCGATTTGTGAATATATTTAAGTATATTTGTGTTCAGGATGCTGGGTGCCTGTTTCCTTGTGCACAGCTGATGAATAACATCTACGGATGTGCATGCATTTGTGCAAGAATCGAGTAAGAGGTCGTGGAGGACAGATAAGCAGAGGGCTGTGGGGATCAGAGTGCATGCTGGGAGCTGGGTTGTACAGCCTATGTACTCTGTGACAGTCAAGAGCAAGGGAGGTGGAGGAACAAGAGAGGAGGGTCAGTGATGAAGGGGGGGGAGGGGGGGTTGTTAGAGCAGACCCTGTGGAAAACAACCTCCACAGGAGGAGGAAAAGGACATGCAACAAGCTGCAAGGGAACAGTATTAAAAAGGGAGGTTGTCAATCCGGTCTGAGCTAGTTGCCCCACCCTGTACTGTGTGCCAAGTTTGAGAAAAGGCCTGTCCCCTTGTTCACGTGTATATGTGTGTTGGGAATTAAAATGATCGACTGAACCTACGGAACGGGAGGGGGGAGGGTTTCGGCAGAGCAGGCAATCCTCGATTTCTCTGTAGGCTCACACACACACGGAATACAGTAACATCACAGAGACATCAATAACACACAAATATATACGCATACAGAACACCCTGTCCACCCCATACACACACCACCACCATCTGTCAAACAGACCCAGCAGGGGGCAAGTCTGAACGGTGGATCACTAAATGCATTGCTCTCTACAAGATTCAAGTTACATTCCATCTGATCAGCGCTCCTGATACGTTTGTACGCTACACCCCACTACCAAAACCTGCCTAACCTGGCTTCCCCTCCTCTTTTGTACATGTTGACTTGCCTCGTCTTTCTTTATGTTTCCATTTGCTATAGTTTGCTCTATCCTCTGTACAGAAATGTCTCTCTGCACCCTCACCTGCCTTCAGGTCAGAGTAAGGTTTACCTTGACCTCTGCCGTGAGGCCATCTAAGGAACGGAGCAGATTTTTCTTCATCTACTTATTGAGATTGTTGAATTTATCCAAATGCTATAATGAAAATAAAGTGCAGATAAAAGGCTGTGGCAAAGATAAAACATTTGAACAGCCCTCTTAAGTACGATTAAAAGTAAAATACCCAACGGCATGACGATTTCTTATCCATCACTGCATGACTCTTCCAAATCAATTTTGATAGACAACCTTGGCGCATTTGAGAAGAATGCCAGTTACTTTTACAAATCTCCACTGGAAACAGCACAGTGTTCATCTGACCGTATTGAGGGAGGAGAAGGGAATGAGGAGGACGATGAAGAACACAGGAAGCAAGGACAGCAGAGAGAGATGGGAAGGAAGAGCGAGAGAAAGGGCATTCACACGGCTACCGGTTGTGTCCTTCACAGGTGGAAACAGATCTCTGTGAGCCCATCCAGGCCTGAGCCAACCTGCTTTTCTTAACCACAGATCTCCACAGCACCTGCAATGGACCAGGCTTTACTGCAGGCCAGTATAGCACCCTGTTCCCCGTCCATACACAACTGTCTTTTGCTGATCCTGGGTCACGGCTTTGTGAGGTAAAGACGCTGAGCTGAGAGGAGATAAAACACACAAGCGCACATGCACAACCATGCGGACATACACAAACTTGATTCAGCGCCAGCGGAGCACGGAGGGACTACTCTGCATGCAGGAGCCACCTGTCAATGAAATAATCAGAAAAGTGCACTAAGAAAGAGGAAACACAGTGCTCCAAACCTGATCCTCACACCTCCTCATGGCTTGAAACATTCCTTATCACTAATTCATGCCTGTGGGTGACAAGGCCTGCAATGTAGCACAAAGCAGCACTGCAGCTGTCGGTGTTCACGATGTTCCACTTTCAGGAAGGGGCCTTCTCTCAATGCGCAGTCCATGAGAGCCCAGGCCTGCTTTGCAAGTCAAACTGCTTTAAGGCAGGGCCGACTTACCCCATCTCCACCTTCATCACCTTTAATTCATCGGCAACATCTCTTCATGCCCCTTCTCATTTATCTACGCAACGATCTTGTGTAATATTAGTTTCGCTTTTGCAGTTATTTCAGATAAGTGTGTGTCGACAGCTTTGCAAAGACAGTTGGAACCATTTTACTTGACATCCACAGACAAAAACAAGGCAACGGACCGTGGTGGGAGCTGGTAGGAGTGGTTTTCATGTTGTCCGACATGTATCATGTACGGAAGGTGTGCAAAATTTCCACTCTCCCAAGTCTTTCACTGACGCATACCATTCATTCCTAAATACAAAAGGAACAAACTGTTAAGTTTCTAACTTCAGATGATTCTCAGACATGGGAAAAAATTACTGTAGAGATTTTTTTTAAAGAAAACACAAGACAAGAAGTAAATTAACAAGCACACTTTCAATGGACTAGGTTCAAACACGAACATCCCCTCTCATCTCTAAACATTACTCAGAACTTTCACTTTAACGTTCCTCTTTTAATAATATGCAAATTGGATATTAGCTGATTCAAACTGTGCACATTTTAAAAATACTGAAAGTGTTATCAGCCTATTAGATTCATTTAAATGACAAATGTATACACTGCGTAACCACCGTGCTATCAGAACTGATCAAATCCTTGAGTGTCGCAGATATGCAACAGCAACACCAGAAATAAAATGAAAGACAACAAAAAATTGAATTGTAAGCAAGAGAAGCAACGTTCTGACTACATCTATGCTTTCATGGCCATCTCCTTTATTTCTTATGTCTCACTTCAACTTACAAACTAACAACTTTTGTCATATCTTAGCACCAAGCCCACAACTATTTGCCACTGAATCGTCTCATTCACGTCAAAGACGTTCAAAGTTGAACCGATATTATATTTTACTAAAAGTGGAATAGGGGTGTGTGTGTGACAGTTCTGAAGAAAAGTGGATTTTGAGTAACTGCCATGGCTCAGTGACTCATTGCCAAAGTGGAAGGAAACCTGATTGGCCATACTGGGAGAGAAGCAGGAAGAGAGCAAGCGACTGATAAAACTAAACTTTCATGGGCTGGTCTATAGGCCTGCCAGCTTTGAAACTAACCAGGAAGCGCAGCCAAAACTCAAACACGTCTGTGTAAAGGGGAGTGGGAAAGACCGAAGCTCACTCATAACTCATGAGTACACAGTGGCCCAAGAATCAGGCTCAGATGTCAATGATAAACTCAAGACATCTTATACAAGTACCTGGTATAACCTGCTACAATGAGAGGAAAGGTAACAACCCTCAGGTTGGGCAAGGTTTACTGTGAGAAAACTGGCTGGGGTGGGGGGAGGTTAAGTGTTCTTACAGTACATTTTGTACTATTACTAGCTGTAACTACTATTCTTTAAACGTGCCATTGTTAAAAGTTCATATGACTTTCAAACATCCCAGAAGCCAACTACTGCTGAGAGACAGAAACTACACTGTTCAAATTCAGAAACAAACTACTGTTTAACCAACACATTAAATTATTTTTAAGCAGTATCAGACACAAGTTTTCGGTTTTCAAACTCAATTTTTTTTTATTTGTTTGGAGTTTATCCGCATAATAACATTTATTCTCATATTTGCTTTTCACATTTAAAGAAGCGCTCAGAATTATGCTGGTTCAGTCCAAACATTTCAAGTAACAGCTTATCATTTGTCATGCTTGCTTAAACCTTAAACGCATCATAAAATTGATTTATCCGAGCAACAGTTTTTAAAAAGCAAAATTAATTTTAAAACAATAAACTAAACGTGATTTATGCGAGCTGTTGTTTTCCGTCTTGTTGACTGTTATTCTGTAATCTGTTAGCATGTGTTGACAACCAGGAAGTGTAATGAAACACATGGCCACAGAGACACTCCCACACACCGACGCAGTGTCGCCCAGCTCCACTCCAGCAGGTCAGCTGGTCAGTCAGCGTGCCCTGGCTGCACCACTCGGTGCATGCGCAGGACGACGAGGGAAGGAGGACTTCCTGCGAGACTGTGGCAGGCCTGTAACAGAACCTGCTCTGTTATCAGATGACCAGCTCCCTGCTTGCTTGATCTCTCCGTACCTACTGTCTGACCCCCTTACACTCCTCCTTCCTCTCATCTGTCGCTCTCATCTCGTCATTGCTCCATGTCTGTCTGACTCTGCAATGCATAGGGTCCACCACATCACCCACTTCCCCTTTCCACTGCTGGCTGAGGAGGCAAAAAAATTAGTTGTGCAGACCCACCCACCTTTCTATGTCTGGCCATACTTTAATGCAGTCCATACATTGTCTCGCTCGTTTCATTGCAAACCAAGTCACTGCATCACCACGTAGATGTGCAGATTGGTCACACAGCCCCCTTCCAGACTGTTAACCCCCAAATAACAAGTTATACACCAGTCTTTAATAACAAAACGATAAAAGTTTATGTTGAATGTATTTTAACAACCCAAACAAAGTTATGTCACGCCATTTGGACGGTTTATTTTTTTTGTTGAGACGTTTCGTCCTTCATCCAAAGGACTTCATCAGTACGAGGAGCCTCAACAAACTCAGGGCCACAAGCAGCAGCACACTCACATAGTGGGCCAACCAGTTTGCTGGTGATACAATGGTTTTTGGGACCCGCCCTCTCCCCCGTCGACTCATCTGAGGCAGCCATAGCCAAAGTGGTTCAAAACATCAAAGTTCATGCTCAATAATTCAGGTAAAAAAATCCTAACAAAGTTAAGTCAGGTCATCTGGATGGTTTCTTCATTTTTTTTTTTTTTTTTTAGACATTTCATCATTCATCCAAAGGACTTCATCAGTACAAAGAGCCACAACAAAACTCGGTGCCACAATCAGCACACTCACATAGTGGACCAACTAGTTTGCTGGTGATGAGATGGTTTCTGGGACCTGTCCTCTCCCCCGTTGACTTGTCTGAGGCAGCCATGACCCAAATGTTCAAAACATCAAAGTCCATGCTCAATAATCCCGGTAAAAAAATCCAATAAAGTTAAGTCAGGTCATCTGGACGGTTTCTTTATTTGTTGAGACGTTTTGTCCTCCATCCAAAAGGACTTCATCAGTAAGTATTGTAACAGCATTAACAAAAGGACACATTTTAACTGATGCTTTATACTGAAAACCCCTCAATAAAGTGCGATAGAGCAGGACGAGCTTTTCCCCCTTTGCAAGAAACATGGCTGGCCTCACTCTCTTCCTTTAATTTGATCAGGTTGTGTTAGCCTCTCCATAATAAATGTCCCAGAAGAGAACAGAAGAAGCCCCTTTACTCCCCCTAGTCTTCAGCATAACAACAGAAAAACAACAGAGAGGGGTCTGTCTGTCTAGCCAGGCTGGAAGCTGTGGTATACTAAGCAGCTGACCAGGGGAAGCAGACATTAGGGGGAAGTGAAGCTGCATTCACGAAGGAAGAGGCCGATGAAACTATTCACACTGTAAGAAAATAATTCAACCGCAACAAATGACAATATTTGGAACATTATCCATGGATTTTCTTTACCCATTCAGTCATACTTGGGCGGCTGTGGCTGAGTGGTTAGAGCAGTCGTCCTCCAATGCAAAAGTTGGGGGTTCAAATACACAAGCAGTCACATGCCCAAGTGTCTCTGGGCAAGACACCGAACCTCTCATTGCCTCTGGTGATTTGAATGTCTTGATAAGCTAAAGGCGCTACATAAGTACAGTCCATTTACTTGGAACGTTAGCACAGATATGCTACTTAAAAGCACACAGTTCTACAGCACTTCATTTGAGCACACAGATTAAACTTTAGGCAAAGAGAATATGACAGTCTACATGCAACACATGGTATCTTGCCAGCTTTTTAAATGCGAAATAAAGCTTCAAACTGCCACGGCGACATCACACAACCTGTCCTCTCAGTCTGCCTGAACCTGCTCGTTTTGGGCCAAAGTGGTGTAGGCACAAACATACAGGAATATCAAACTGTACTCAGCCTCACCGCCAAATTGATGGGTGGTGTCTTGGACCTGCCCACAGTCACTGAAGTCCCCTGCAATTCCCCCAGAGTCTATTGTTGGTAACACAGACGTGCATGCATGTGTGCACACAAACACACACACTCACGCACACAAACACATATGGCGTCCTAGTTTAACCTCGTGCTGGAATTTACTTGAAATAACTACACATTTCTGCCGTAGTACCTAAGAAATGGCCCAGCACATGCAGTAAACAACATCTGCTTTAACCAATACATTTTGTAAGTCTCAAATAAATTAAGAATCGCTTCATTTGTCAATGCTTCCTGAACACTTTCCCAGCATTTGGGCGTCTTCATGTACTATGCTTTTACCATCCCCATGCCCGCACATTAAAAAAAAAACAAGTTCAACAAGTATGCAAAGCTAAAAAAAGAAAGAAAAAAAAAAGCATCTGGTTATCGAGGAAGACAGTCAGGGTTGTTGTGAAGTCTTTAAACAACTGGCCAAAAAGTATGCATTACATGGCGGCAGGCAAGATTAAAATCAGCTTTTGACAAGATGCTGGGGAGGATGGGGGCGAGCAGACTGGTGTCAGGAGACTGACCAGGGATTGAAAAGAAAAAAACCAATATGAAGCTGAATCAGTCTGCAGGGGGCACAAGTACTTCAAGGCTGTGTACAAATACACCAGAGCTTAAGTTTGTTTTGGCTTGGACTTGGCTGAGGCTGCTGAACCTGTCAGTGAAACTCAGTTGTCAAGACAAGATGTCCCTTCGTTAGCTTTCTCATAATAACGTTGAATGTTGCAACTGTACCCTGGCAGACATCATCATGGTTGTTCATATGCAGT